GAAATTATCGTTTTTTGAAAATTCCAATATCCTTCAGCCATGAGTATATTATACATGGTGGGTAGTTAAACGCATTTATTTAATGACGTGTGGCATCATTATGTACAAGGACGTTTTCTATGTGACATAGCGATAAAACGGGTTCTTTTATATTCTGTTGGCGTTTTAATTGACTATCACTCTATTATCGTGTAACTTAATATATCTAATACCTAAAAGGTAGATGGTTTTCGTTGACAAAATGGATACATTAATCTGGTTATTGAAATCTCTCTCTATATATATACATTTATATAATTCTCACTGTCTGAATTTGAATAAATAAAAGAATACAAGAGTGAAAGCACGAATGTAATTTTTGTCTGGGCTTCATCTGTATGTTTGTTTATTAGAAAGTTTCAGATTTGAATTACCAGCCGTATCGTCAAAAAAAAACAAAAAACATTATTTCTCTCCTCATCACTCCGCAATTATACCAGTGAATGCTTGTGTTGTGTGTAACGAAGTGTAGTAATCTACGACGTTCTATTTATGGTTTGCACCAAATCTCCTTACATAGTCTCCGATATATGATGTGTCGCAGTTCTGGCATCAAATATTTTATTCTTTAAAACGCAAGTACAGCGTTCTCTGAAAGTGTATACATTCTGATAACAAAATATTTTAGAGTGTAAGTTTTGTTTAACACCGTTGATGGAGCTATTTTTGTCGATGTCATCTTCCAGGTGATTTTATGGTACATTTGTGTTTTACTTTGACGTTAGTCTTGAAATCCCATCAATTTCCACAGTTTACTCAAGAGGTAGATATGTAGATATTGCACTGCAGAGTTGTCACAGTAAGCAGTTATCCTGATGATTATGGTTTGGAGAAGAATATCCAGAAATGACAGACCCAATCACCAGGAAAAAGAAAAAGAAGGAAAATTAACCCTTAAACTGACTGAATCAGGTTCAGCTGATTCGGGTTGATATGCAATATATAGGTTGGCCGCCGAATCAAACTTATTTGTCATATTGTTGTTTTGTTCCAGTTTCCTGACCCACCACCTGATTACCCGCATCACGAATATGACAACAACGTGATCCAAAACTACCGATTTTTCCACCGTGGTCAGGTCACAGACAATTCTAACTTAAGTTACACTGGGTCATCGACCTATGGAGTGAGTTAAAGAGTATTTCACCATTATTTATAAATGATTTTTTCCATAAATTACAAAATCTTTCAAATTGAATGGCATAAGGTATCATTTCTCTTTTTCTTGACCTAAGTACTATTTTGTTCTGGAATAAGCTATATAATTATGTTGCTGCTCATGTTATTTCGATTCAATGAACTAATTAGTTTTGAGAAAATAATTATGATGATAAACTATTCCTTGATGTTACTACATTTCAAATAAATAACGTCTTTTCTTCGTGTTTTCTTTTTAGTTTGCTACCATCAATTCGACCGATTCAGTAAGTACACCATTTATAAAAACGCTACAGTAAAAACATTTGCCGTGGAATAAAAAAACTTTTTTTAATCAAATATTTTTTTGATTGTAAATCGGAATATTTATTTATAAGCTATCTACAATGTTTGTATCTACATTTTGCTTTCAGCTTTTCAACAATTTGAACACAGCGGTAAGTATGCACTGCATTGACACCCTTATTCTGATAATATGGATCATGCCAGGAATTTACATTTTAAACCAAATTCAAATATATTCTTCTCAACATTGATTGATAACCAGAAGAATTCAGACACTGAAGTATTACCAATATGTAAGGTTAATGTATATCGAATTGTCGTTTTTGTAGACGAAAAAATCCCTTCAAAATAAAATGAGCTTCTCGCCAATGTTGACTTTGAAATCGTAATGAACTTTTCTTTTATAAAAAAAAAGATTAAAGAATTACAACGAGCCATTCACCTATTACAGGTCAGACTATCACGTGGTGATTTCGGTGATGCTGTGTTTCGTATGGCCTCTACGTTGTAGGACTGATCTAAATATATTTTTATACTGTTCTTTTTTATTGAAAAGAAAGTCAGAAACTAATCTAACAAGTTAATCATGCAAATTATAGCATTCCTCCGACACACAGCCACACTAACGTGATCCAATACCTATGGCTAGTACTGTAAGAGATAGAGCCGGGACAGACTTTACTTTGATGCAGGTTAAATGTCAAAATATAGATCAAAGTGACCTACTTTTGATACATGATCAACCTTCTCATCAAAGTGAACCCATATCCAATTACGAAGTTTTCGTGGTAAGTTGTGTAGAAGATAGGGCCCAGACAAAATAGCGAATGACTAAAAGACGGAAGAATGGACAGACACAACGCATCCCCATTAGGTTCCGGACAGGGGCCTGTTATGGGCATTTTCAAAGGGTTAGGGATTTCCACATTTTGCTTATTAGCTTTAAACTTACTTTTTTGTGATGGTTACAGCACGACTTTATCGCTAGAAAACGGGCCTTCCGAGATAATACCTTTGTGATTGTTGTATCCATTCTACATAAAATCAAATCATTAGTATTGGTAATAATCCCAAAGAATTAAGATTGAAGTTGTCATTTAAGGTAAAGATAAAATAACACAAACTTATACAAGTTGATATCAATTGCATTAATAACTGAAATGATATAAATATTAATACATTTAGAATCACGAAATAACACATTTAAAGCATAGATGATTGTTCCAACTACCAGCAAGTATAAGAGTATAATTATACAAATTGTTGCTTCGGACATATTATCTTAAATGAAATGTATTGTAACATGATTATTGCTGCAAAAGTTTAAACTTATACTATTTTATTATTTTATTACAGAGTGGTGATTCCGCCTATGTCATTAATAACGGTCAACCAGCGCTGGCAAGTTAATCACTCAGGCAAATCGCCTATAGTTTTCAACTTAATTGGGATGAAGTCTACTTGTATAGTTCAGCGATATATGAAATCGATAGTCTATAGGAAACAGGGGCCTTTTATTGTAAAACATATTTTCATAATAATTCTTTATGATTTTAAAGCAGATTTTTTTAGTGAGAGTATGATTTTATGAATAGTTATTACACCACAAAATATCCTTATGATTATATCTTATTGATTCGTAAACATATATCTTTGATTGGAAAACCCTCAAAATCTACGAAAAAAACGCACACGAAACTATTTTACCTATATTTTATAAAGAAGAACTCACCAATCACTTAATTTTTATAAAGCATTTTTTCCGGATCTGGTGACAAACATCATTTGGAAGTATCACAATATTTCTATTCAATGTGAACGTCTATGTACTTCACTATCAGGAGGTATTCACGAACAGTTATTCTTATTTAGTACTAAAATGACGTCACACAATTACTGTGTATTGTGACGTAGCAGTGGAGACTGTAGATATAGAGCCGAAATGCTTTTAAGGAGAACAATCATTGCCCCTTTTTTGGCCAATTTGTTTTTATTTTAAAACGAAAAAGGAATTTATCTAAGTGTTTATCTAAACAGGCCACAAAATCGTGCAAAGTCCTGCAACTTCACTTTCAGATATATTGATGCCCTTAATGACATAAAACGCAATCAGACACGGCAAACTCCTTCATCAGCCGCTTACCTCATTCTTTTCCTTGAACAAAATAACAGTTTTAACCAAGCTATGTGATAAGCGTGATGATTTCAATTTTACTATTAGAAATTTTAGATTTCTGATATCAACAATCCTGCAACCAAAACCTTGTATGATGATTACATGTCACGGTAGATTTGGTGTATAAAGGGTTTGTTCTCGATTTTCGTGTTAGCAAATCATAGACTCATAACACAGTGTCGATCGGGAAATGTTAAGTCTTCATGAAAGTCTTATTGAGAAATACTCTATATCTTTATGCGATGTGAAACTTGGCGCGTTTGATGATCGTTAGTTTACAATGTTATAAACCGAGAATAAAACATTACTTACTTGCATTGACAGAGATTTACATTTAGGGTGTCGTCGATGAAATAGAAGACGCTAACTTTCCGGAACACCAGGTCTTATTATCCCTCTGTACTTTTTCAGAAGTTTCCGTATAAATATTTCTTTTGTTCATATTTTGTCCTAGTTTTATTGAATTTTAGTTTATATGATAATTCTATTGATATTTTGCTTTTGGAAATGTCCATATTATATAATAGTTACCTGAATACTCGGTTATGTTATAACACAGATACTGAATTTTGATTCTTCACGCATGGAAATACATTGATACAGGAATATTACAATACGTTTAGAATGTTTAAGTTCAAACCACATGCAACAAAACGAGTAAAATGTCATTTTATTGAAACATCAAATTTTTAAGATAAACAGAAAAAAAAAAAAAAAAAACAATGGAATAAGTCAATTACACCATAGTAATGTTAGTTTGGTTTTATTCACAGCCTAAGCCCAGAAATAGCGATGTGAAATTACCGAAAGTAAGGGTAAGTAAGAGGTTATATCCATTCAACCTCACAATACACATGACTAAGGAAAATACAATACCTGGTCTGGACTAATAACGGGTTTCTAGTCACTTTCTAACTTCTTTTTTATGAATTCGTCTTCTACATAGTCATCCTTCTGTCATGTCTCCTAAAATGAAATATCATTGATTAATATTAAGAGAGAAAAAAATGTCTATTGCAATATTAATTATCCAATGTTATTTTTGCTCTAACGGTATACTGGAGATGATAATTTATTGTCAGACTTGCAGACTTCTGATTATTACTTTTATAATAATGATCACTTCTGTTTCAGAAGACTTACTGGTTCAATAGATTTGTAATTGGTGTTGTATCAATTCTGGGATTGCTGCTGATTGCAGCCACCGCCTTTTCGTTGCCTTTTCTAATTCTAAAGGATGAAATAGCAAACGCTGGTAATTTGTTTCACAACGTTATTGTTTTATAATTTTTTATCGATTTAATATTTTTACTACCGTGATACGTTGCCGATTTCACTATTAATGAGGAAGCTTATTCCTTTTTCTGTTTGTAGAATTGTGTCTTATTATACATTAATCTATTTGTACTGCATGACGAAGAATTCCGTTCACCAGCCTGTCTTTTGTCACGACCAGATATCGAATACCATAACGAAAAATTAAATAAATAAAAAAATTTTAATGAATAGTCAATGCTAGTAGTGTGATGTCATTTTCACTTTTTTGCACTATTATCAAGTAGCAATATCTGTTAAGTTATCATTGAACACATTTGATTCCCAGGTGCGAATGTAGGGAATACTCCATTAGATGGACTCTGGACTGACTGGAAGGCTTGGAGTAACTGCTCCGCTGCATGTGGCAATGGATCAATGACAAGAACCAGAACTTGCACAAATCCTTCTCCCTCACTTGGTGGACGGGATTGTGAGGGTTCGGATAATGAGACTAAAGACTGTATGATGATGGAATGCCCAGTAGATGGTAATTGGACTGACTGGCAGGCTTGGGGTAACTGCTCTGAAACCTGTGGCAACGGTGTCAGGATCCGCAACAGAACGTGCGAAAACCCTTCTCCTTCGTCAGGTGGAAATGACTGCGAAGGATCAGCATCAGACACTCAGAACTGTACGCTTATCCCATGCCCTATCAATGGTAATTGGGGTTCGTGGCAGATTTGGAGCGATTGCTCTACAACATGTGGTGTTGGTGTGATGAATCGCTCAAGAGAGTGTGATAATCCCCCTCCTCAATACGACGGCGAAGACTGTGTTGGACCTGCCTCTGAAACATCAACGTGTGCCAATATTACCTGTCCCCCTCCTGGTACTTGGAATAACTGGTCTACATGGACTGACTGCTCTGTTTCTTGTGGCCAAGGCATATCAAGAAAGACGAGGACCTGTGATGATTCTGCAGGCGGGGATTGTATTGGGGCAGACTTAGAAACAAAAGGTTGTCAAATATTTAAGTGTTATGACAGTTGGGGAATTTGGAGTGATTGCAGCTTGACGTGCGGGGCTGGACTCCGCTCACGAAACAGAACATGTGACGGAAAATATACTGGCCAGGAATGCGGTTGGCACACTCCAACGTTCGTTGACGTTAAGAGCTGTGATAACACAGCCACTTGTCCAGATTGTAAGTAGTTTATGTATAACTAAACATAGGAGTGTGAAATCACGTACCTACAAATTTACATTCTTTCGACCCCAAGAACCTGTTACTAGTCCTTAAAAATAACATTATGGCGTAGTTTATTTTATAGATATATATTTTTTCCAAAGAATTTGTCAAAGCTATGTCTTTAGAACAATACATAAATATTTGTTAACGTTGTTTAAGTTCAGTACCCTTGATATGTAAAATATGTACATATCATTCAACATCCTCCATACCCCAAGGGTTACGATCACTTTCGCTCTCTGCACACCTGGAACATGTCATGGCAGAACATAAGTCTCAATTGAAGTTGATTGGTTCCAGGACTGACCAATGACAGACTCATAAGCACCTTTTAAATATTAGATAGGAGCGACACCCAACTTCAAAGCCATTACAATAAACCTTATGCGACCTCGATGTACATCAAAAAGTCAAGCTAGTCGTTTTCGTCTTGTCCACAAGGTGTTGCACATCGCACCTTTAATTTTGCCATAACATGTCCTCGGTTTTCACACAGCAAAGGTGATCATAACCCCTGGAGTATTGTGAATGAACTTTAAAATGACCTCTGAAGAACATTATTACATGATTAACATATGATGTAATGTATACTGTTATGTTGAACAAAATGACATTATTTTTTAAATTCTCTTTCAGCTTTTTGCGCTAGCAGAAGCGCCAACTGTTCATACAACCATCCAAACAGATGTGACATGTACATTACTTGTGATGCAAGGAAGGTCATGCACGAGCAAATTTGCAATGTGCTGTTGCTGTACAAGGTTAGACAATCTGATGAATGTAAAGGGGACTGCGACTGGGCAGCTAATGTTCAATGTCCATGAAGGTGTTCGAAATCCATACGTGAGGTAAAATGTCAAGTTTCTGTTGTACATTTTTTGGGAGTTCATCTTTAACATTGGAAATGTAAATATGAAATCATTCCAAAGTCAACAGTCAATGTTACGATTAAATATGTAGTGTCTAGCATGACATACAGGATGTACACAACTCAACCAAAGACGTTGGGCTGGATAGAAATACTTTTGAAATACCCTGGCCAAGATTTCACGGAGCTCAACTTGTAGTTAAATGAGAAAATAGGAGATTCTGTAGAAGATGGTAATTATTTTAAGACCTACATTTGCAGTGTACAAAATATATTCCTGATATCATAAATTGTAATCTCTCATTAAACTCGGTTTTTTTAATTTCTAAATTTCCCCACACTCCACTTCTGCATAAATATTGTACGTATACACAAGATAACTATAGATTAAGGTTTTGTTATGGAATAACTTTAAAATGAAAAAGTTATCGAGAAGAGCATCCTTGCACCTTTTGGTTTGAAGTAAATTTTGAAATACTGTTGATGTATATGAAATTCATGAAGGCTATGTAGACTTGGATCCACAGATAGAATCCTTTCTACTTTGTGTAGACGTTTTTTATTTGTTATATTATTACTAAAGCCCAATTACTTACACCTAATGCCCCAATGTTGATGACATATTCTACTTCTTATGTGTATATACTTATACAATGTCATCATTCCATATATATTAACCCGGAAACTAACTTGCAATAGAACTTGTGCGATGTGGAATGTAAAGTTCCCAAATGAAAATGTCAACGTTTTGGTGAATTTCACACATTTATGTATATTTAATTAGAAAATGACGTTTTTGCATAACTACGTCATATCTGCTGTAAATATATATGTATGCATTTGAAGTGTTGCGAAGTATCTACACTTTTTACAAAAAAGAAAAAAATCCTCTTCAGTTCAACAAATAATTGTTACTGTTTTTGACCAATTTGAAAAAAAGAATCAAAACGCACCAAGCCAACTGTCTCTCCACTACGTAAGGTTTTATCCGCTTGGAGATGGAAGGACATCGCGAATATATATTGACGTTATTTGTAGTCGAAACCTTAAAATTTCTGAATAAAAGATCTACCATATTGTATGTACGTAAGAATTATTTGATCACTAACGAAATGTAGCAACTGTTACAACGAAATCAACGAAGGGAGGTAACTGCTATAATTTATTTTTAACTGTATATCATGGTAGGTTGTCCGAATTTCAGATCGAAGATTTCCTACGTTCTGATGAAATTTTCATGTGTGCTAGTGCAATTTTTAATTTTTCATATATCTAATTTATTCCTAAGCAAATACAACAAAGTTTATTAAAATTACAAACGACGCAGTAACATGAAAAACCTAGTGCACGATGCAGAGAAATACCATAATGTTTTTTTTTTATATACCATGCATGTTTATAAGTAGTTGGTACCTAGATTTAACGTGAATATGGATCAAATTTCAGGTTTTGTTTGCTCGGAGTGAAAGTTATATTAGACCAATGTTTAAACAAGGGATGTAAAAGGAACAATAAAACAAAAAGAAAAAACGCTAACTGCAGGTCTGGTTTGTGTTTGAGTTGAGTTTTTATTATTAAATAAACCAACAAATCGAAACGATCATGTGGTATTTTATGTCCAGTTCTATCAATGGAGGCAGTGAAGCGTTAACCCTGATGAAAAGGATCTTCATTTTAACTCCCGGTATGGATACCTTATTACATAATTTTAATCTGCTTGTTCCTGGAGAAAGTCGAATGACAGCTCCGGCTGTATACACCATACAGAGATGAGACACGCAACAAAAGCTTATAAGAAATTGAAATTATTATTGGCATGCAAACATTGTGATTATATTACATCAAAGTCTTATGTGTCATATACACCTCTGATTACTTACATACCTATACATTAAGGGAAAATCCACTATGCGCATGCTCAAATCTTGTAACTTCCGTTAAAAAGGCCAGTTATATATCGCAATGGGCAGACTTCAATTTAACACTAGAACGAAGAAATCGCTGATACGAAAATATATGCTTTGATGTACCATGATCCATTCCATTTGTGTATAGCTGGTATATGTTAGACATACTATTTGCTAGGGAAAATAGAACACGGGTACATGAATCGTACTAACTTACAGGTCCACTACCTTGACTCAACATAAACACACCTGATTTTCTTTTAACTCCACAATTATCAAAGGGTGTTTGTCACACATCTGGGTACAATTATTGGGATGGTGATACATTTTATGTATTGATGACTGATTTGACCTGTGACATTTTGTGACCTATATGTTGACCTTCTACATAACTTAACAATGAATTAAGATGTGTGAATGAAAAAAAAAAGCTTATTATATTTGATTGATATTTATAATTGTCTGATCTGTGACCTTTGGTAGCCTGTACATTGAAATGTGGCATAACTTTTTATTGTTATAAGATGAAAAGTATGCAATATTGACTGAAATGGGAGGTAAAGACTTATATGACCTCTGACCTTCGGTTACCTATAAATATTTGCATTTGGCATATGTCTGTCATTTTAGAATATGTGCAATAAAAATATTGAATGTGGATGGGAATTGATGACAATTTGACTTTTGACTTCTGACCTGTTGACCTCAGTCATGCAATTGAAGCGTATACCATATTGATAAGTACTAACATATTGAAAATCCTGAAGACTGGTACATGTTCATTTTACATCCATGCACAATTGTAACACACGCCTTCCCAGCACACACTCGTATTACATATCTAAACGCATACAAACTTCACTAGCAATGAGACGACAGTAGAAGACGTGGTATCCGGTGACAGATCTCAAAACAACCTTGGTTTATGCAGATGTTGGTATATGTGCTGTTACTATGAGAAATTTCTAAGTAAAGATTTGAACCATTATAAGTTATTTTAGCAAAATAATTTTATAAAGTAATTTGGTTTGAAATTCGAATGTAGAGTTAGAAATGTGGATTTACACTGTTCCAAGGTTGGGATAAGATGTTGGTTTACACATGGTCAGCTGTGTTTGTTGATCTATAGCTAATGCTACATGTAGTTAATTATCTAAAAACTAGTCCACAGGTCAGCACAGAAAGGGCCATTGAATTGTACGTGGTCGGTGTGGCGGTGCTCGTCTATGTGCTGGTGCCTTATGTAACTTATGTAAAACTTGTTTGTTCGATCAAGTCCAAAGTCATTCTAAATATAGTCTACCCTACTGACCTCCATCTGTAATTATTCAACTGTAAGTGTAAAAGAAATCCCTACCAGGGGTATCATTATCACTGCTCATACATACCCCAACGATACAAGGAAGCTGGACTGGATTTTATCACTAAAAAATACTCAGAAGTATTACCCTTCAGATTAAGAAATAACCTTACTCTTGAACATAACTGGCAATCCATTCTTCTTGTGCGGTTAACTATTTATACAGAAACAGACATTTCGTCATTCTGATTTTTTTTATCTTTAGCATGCTACGTATAGTAACTGAAGGGAAAGGGACATAACTCCTGCAAAATATTAACGTACTGACGATTAAGAATAACCGTAGGTGTAAGGTACGCTTTCTTCAGGTATAATAGGGATAATTTCACAATTACAGCATGAATCAAAATACTTTAAGGACATTTAAAATGATTCCTCTTTTATATCATGAATTGTTAGACACTATTTTTTACTATGCTCCCCTACCAGAAATATGTTCTCTTTATCTAGTGCACACTGTACAAAAATTAGCTGATTTTTTTTCTTTTTTTTTTCAAAATGTATTTCATTTTTAACACTCAAATAAATTCTTTATATTTTATCTCAAAATGCATTTGTCTAATTGTCTTCGTTTGACAAGAGTGTCAACGTACTAAACTTGAACTTTCTTTTAGCCATTAGTAAATGTCGAGGTCGAGATAGGCAGGCAGTCAATCGAGTTATGCTCTGACTCTGACGTCATCTCTTTTTTTGTTTGAAGAGATGACCTAAGTAGCGATAATACAATAACTGGGGGAGGGGTCAATCTCTCCCAAAGGTTCTTTAATTTGTTGCACGCCCTTCATGTCATAAATCTTCGTCTTTGACTTCTATCCTAAAATACCATTGTTCTATTGTTGTAGAATTGGTGCATGCGCATAGAATTGGAAGCTCAACTGTTATTTGGAGCAGATATTTCCAATCCAATTTGTCCACAGCATTTTTCCTGATAGAATTCAACCGGATGTCGGAGTTATCCCTCTTTGTATCAATCGGCCAACACTGGACTCACAAAGTTAATAGATTGATAATAAAACCGTAGGAAGTTTGTTAGGCATCCACACACTAGTAGAAAGGCATTCATGCAGTACTCTAGATATTGATGAGATAATTTAGTAGAGCAATAACAAACACAGAGAAAAAGGGACAAAATTAACAATTATGTAATTTAAGTACGCGATATTTAGATTGGTATATCTGAAAATTCTCCCACGTGCGTTATATCTGTAACCAATACCTGAACTCCTAAGACAGAACCTTACGAAGGGCCAACACTTACAATTAAAGTTTGATTTTATAATGTGAATGCATTAAAACATTCATTAAAGTAAATATTGATTATTTTGTACAGTTCTATCATATCTCCCCTGATTCTCCCGAAAGCGATCGTTGTCTCCTGAAAGCAAGCGTTTTTTGCTGTTCTGTATTTTTCCAAACAAGAGATCACGTAAAAGAATGTACATTTTATGTCGATATGTCAATATCTATCGATCTGACGCCACATAAAATGAAAGTCTCACCTGGAAAAGTTTTCATGGTCTAGCGATGATACATGTACATGAAGCTCTCTATTTGTATATCCAGTTATATAGCTTAATACAACCTTATCCGCTAGGTGGCGATTTCAGTAGGAAATCACACGAATGTAAATTGGTTTCATCATGACTGGATTAAAATATTCTTTTCGAACATTTTTAGGTCTAATTATTGATATATATATTTGTTACTTTATTCTAGTCCTTTGAACATTTAACTATTTTTTATTTCAACAATTCAGCAATGATTAGGTAGGGAAATCACAATACACTGTTACATAGTAGCATTGACTTCGCTGTCTAAATCTGATCACATTTTTTCCCTATTTGATTCTATTTTAACCACTGTTACCTACACAACACAATTGAGAGGTGGCTATTATGATAGTTGGTTCAACAGAACTATGTAAAATTGAAGCCACACTTCATACATGTATTTATCTATGAGCATTCATCCTTACCACCTTGGCTAGTTTGTCTAAATAGCAACATCGGTTATTTTATTTTTGTTTTTTGCAAAGTTAGATTTTTTTTTTCATAATTTGTACAAAAGACTCCGTTGCAGCATTGTACAGAGTTCATCATTGCCTGCGAGGTCAAGTAAACTGTGACGTCATTACGCATAATGTGTATATAAATGTACAATGTATATTGCAGTTTTCGGTTTTGTCTTTATTTGGTTGCGCCATGCTGCTATTCCTGACGTCATCATTCTTGCTGTTTTAGTGCTTGTACAACTAGTCGTCGTGACGTCATCACTTCTTGCCTCATTTAACGTGTCAACAGGCTTCTCGAAGCACGATATCCGCGGTGATGTGACATAACCCACACTTGCCTACAACAACAAACCCAGACTTTCAATCAGTAATTACAGAGAATCGTCTTGTCCCTAGCTATCTCTTTCAACCGACCATTATTCGGATCACGTTACGTCTTAATAATAAAGTGTATGAATAATTTGTAATTTGGTGTAAGGTGATTCCTCCACAGATTGGCTGTCACGCGCATCAGCACGGCCGAACGTACGTGCAAACAGATCATCACACTCACAGTACGGTACAAACAGCCGACTAATTTCATCGTAACATCTCTACAAATGACTATTAATACATAATTACGTCTCGTAACTCGGGTACACGGCCACTTTCGGCTGTACCTAATCAACTCCCCAACTTTTTATACCCATTTTTTGTTCGTTGTGTGATATAAGGAACGTCTTTCTTTTTAATCAACATTGTTATTTACAAATCGGAGAAGATGCAGCTGCACTCTCCACCAGTGGCAACGGGTAATATTCTCTATTAACCCGCGTGCATTTTGATACATTTCTTTAACAAAAGAAAACAAACTTTTACCAATCTGAATAATTTCCTAATTACGGTACTCTTGATAAACTGACATAGAACGGAGAAACCACAATTTTACATATAACGGTAACTGTTACTCGGATAGATTTGTTTTTCTGTTGGAGAAATTAAATCGTCAAGTCATGTGTTTATGAGGAACCTGGGCCATTATACGATGTGATAAAATAATGCTACTCTAGCAGAATTTGGTGTTGTTTAAAAGTTTTTTTTAACACGTATTAACATATATCTTTGTTCTTTTATTTTATTCTTATCGTTGCATTCAAAAACTCTATCACACGTTTATCAAAATGTACAACTGTATGTCAATTTATTGTTGTATTGTAATTCTACATGCATATTTAAAAAAAACTTACATTAATTAACATGCAAGTTCGTGTGTTGTTATATGAAACGGTGTGCCGCGAGACATTTTCTAAACAATCACCACATCATACAGCCTAACGACATTATACAATTTCTCAGGCAAAGTTATTTAACTTTATTTCTTTTACAACAATTGCGAAACAACTTATAATAATCGCTTTTTTGCCCGCATGGAAGTCTTACTGTTGGAGGAAACCGACCTACCGGGGAAAACGGTGGGTTCTCAATTTGCCCACTTTTTATAAAACAATAGAAAGTGTTGGTTTTGGAAGACAATAGAAAAGGAATGATAGTCAGTTTCACACTAACGGTAAATTTCACCTGAGTTCATTTACCTGAGATTCTACCTGTGCTACTTACATACCTTATAACTTTACTGTACTCTACATAGTCGGGTAGTTGACCCCATACCGCTTCATGGCCGTTCCGGGAATCGAACCACAGACGTTCAGGTGAAAGGCGAGTGTGTTACCACTGCGTCCCCCTACCACCCACTTTGGACTAAGCTATACATCATGTGTGAAAAAAGAGGTAAACGTCTGATTGAAAAGAATATATGTTATACTTGATAGCAAGTCAAGATTGTATATCAGATCAAACTATCAGCTTAGTCCTATATAGAATAGTAACACAAGCACTGAAAAACAAAAAAAGGGTGTTGTCAGCATAACTATAACTTATACTCAAACTCATTAAAACTAGGGCTGAATATGAATAAAAGAAATATTTACAAAGAGACTCCAGAAAAAGGTCAATCAATAAGACCAGGTGTTCCAGAAGAGCCAGCGTTTTCTGATTCACCGCCAGGTAAATCGAGGTCATTCCGCGTAAGCAAAGCCCGGAGGTTCACAACAACGGAAACAACAGGTAAAATAACGACCACCAAACACGTCCAGTATCACATCACGCCAAGAAATAATTATTATTTCTCAATTTTACCACTATGACGTCGATAAAACTTCCCCATTACTATCATCAACCTGCTTTTTGAAACCTTGTGTTACGAGTTTGTCCGTCAGTTGAGGGCTTCTTGCACGAAAATCGTGATGATGGGAACAGACCCGTTAATATCGATTCAACATGTTTACATGTATACACCATAGTACGTAAGTAAATGCATGCGAATGTTTTTACTTCCCAGCTTTTTTTTCTTGAATTTATTACGACTGGAGAACAAAACCATAAAAACTATTGTTTACTTGGAGTTGCCTAGCAAGCAAACATCTTTCTGTTTTACTGCAGTTTTGATAAGTACTAAAGCAAATATGAGAATGTAAAGTAAGAAAGATAAATCCTGTGTTCAGACAGGCTTAAAAACAAATAAGTACATATTCCACGAAGCTACATCAAAAACAGAAAATAAATTGGAATCACAATATTACAATCAGTACCATGAAGTAGATTAAGACGTTTCACCTGACAAAGAATTAACTTCAGTCTATATCATATCGCTGGTATGTATTGTATATGTAACGTTACCAAGGTTACATTTGAAAATCAATCTGATATAAAAAGTACATATGAGTGAAGGTGGAGATCAAATTAATCATGTACATACATGTTCATTGCTCTTGGAATTGGCCGTGTTTATGTCCGTCCTTTTCAGGAGAGTTATGAGGTGCGGACCCGGGATCTCACAGTAACGCGTGCGTCGACAAAAGGTTATGTTCAATGATGTATAATCTTACCCCCGCTGATATTGGTCAGTGGACATAACACTGTAGGTCATACCCGATTTGACGAGAGCATCTGTCATAACGAATAAAAAACAACAAAAAGCAGGATTATCAACCATTCAATATTACAGAATGGCAGCCGTCTCTTACACCCAAATCAGATTAACTTCTTGATGGGATGGAGAAAAACACTGCTTTTATCCCAAGGGTTTTCTCAAAGGTTTTGCCCCATAATCACAGTTGAAGGGAACAGTGCTTTACATCTGACTTCTATTTCTCAAGAGGTTGCCTTTGAATGAACGGTTTTGACAGTAGAAGTTGCCATTCCTCCGGCGGTTGTCTCCGAACGAACATTATGGATGTGCATGCCAGGCATTTATCAGGACACTGTAAAGGACTGGACATTTGTGTAGCCTAATTTAATTGGTCTCTATTTACAAAGCTCGTGCCACCCCATGGAACTCTTTCATGGAAGGAGGTGATAAATCACGAAGAATATAAAGATTAACTGAAAAAACCAAGATAAACACTTCCTTAAGTAACACATTAAACAGCTCGATCAGATTTCACAAATATGTACCCACACGGAAAATATATTTCTTTCATCAACGTTACCATAAAGAAGGCGTGTTAAAAATATCCACATCACACCACAGTTACGTGGGTCTGTTAAAAACAAAAATATCCACATCACACCACACATACCATTACGTAGGTCTGTTAAAAACAAAAATATCCACATCACACCACATATACCATTATGTAGGTCTGTTAAAATTATCCACATCACACCACAGTTACGTAGGTCTGCAAAAAACAAAAATATCCACATCACACCACACATACCATAATGTAGGTCTGTTAAAAACAAAAATATCCACATCACACCACACATACCATTATGTAGGTCTGTTAAAAACAAAAATATCTACATCACACCACAGATACCATTACGTAGGTCTGTTAAAACAAAAATATCTACATCTCTCTACAGATACAATTAAGTAAGTCTGTTAAAAATATATACATCTCATTAAAGATACTACTAAGAATGTCTGTTCAAAATATCTACATCTCACCACATATACCATTAAGTAGGATGGTTTAAAACCTCACGAAAGTTGGACATATAAGTTATGTTGCAAAGAGAAATTAATTTGCCATTCTCCATTCTCCATTAATGAGCAGAAGAAAACATTGAAATATGCTATCGTAGGAAAGAATACCGTTTTGTCGATTCATCATGTTATTATGTTTTTTCCACCGCTCTTCCTGTCTCGTTGTCTTAACTGTATTTTTTTGTACCTGTGTTATCAGCATTTTCATAAAAAAGAACAATGTCTTATTTGGTGCATGTACTCTTCGTTGAGTCGAAATGGAACGACATTTGATCGACTTACTCTTAACAGAACACAACACTAGCTTATTATGGAAACCTCCATAATGTCGATATGTGTCGTCTGTTGTTCAATCATATTACAAGTATATAGTCATAATGCATTCCTATTTTATCCCGTTGTATCGATTTTGAGGTTAAATTATCATGTTGTTGACGTGTAAGTATTCTTTTGTTAGTATTGTGACGATGCTGATTCAGTTCTTAAAGCTGATTTTGAAATACCTGTTCAGCACAGCTGCATACCTCTATTCATCAGGACTGAGATGGGGCAGTATTCAACTACTCACTGTGCACGACTCGTGTGAACAAACATGAAATCTGTTGATAAAATGGAAAACAAGGAACGATAAATTTATTAGGACACTATTCGGTAATATCATGATACACAGATTAACGTTTGTACCCATTTAACTCTGAACACGACACCCCAAATACCCCACATATGCATACGAGAACATTAACACGTCTTCTGCGCAGCGTGTCATCATCTTCCGGTATCTTCTTCCCAGCAGGAGGCTGGCTTCCGATTACTACTACCCAGCATGCGTGCGTCTGTGCCTGTCTACACGGACAGCGATATCACTTACAATGGTGACATCCACTTCTCATAAACCATCGCATAATGTTTTTAACTAGTATTTTTGACTCGCCGAGGTGAAATTCTAATCAGGATAAATTTCAGCACAATATATATTTTATAGTTTTATAAAATGGTCATACATACCAAACCGCTTTATACGATATTAATGTTATTTTTAGTACTAGTCATATTTCAAAAATATTTGAAATATGTAAAAAAAAAAAAAAAACAAAAAAAAACAAAAAAAAAAAACAAAAAAAAAAAAAAAAAAATAAAATAAAATAAAAAAGGCTTACGGCGTTTAAATGAAATAACATAGTGAACCAGAACATGCACAATAGATTAGGTGAATTAATAAATGATTGATAAAAATTCTTATTGCGCTAAACTTATTTAATGAGTACTCTTGACGAAATATAGGCTAATTACAAATGAATAGAAAGCTTGTTAAAAGAAGAAAAAAATATTGCACAATATCCTATTTTGATTTGGTCGTCGAGGAAGCAAAGTACGCTTTCATCTCTGAAATGTCAGGTCTTATTCTTTTTTATTTTGTAAATTTAAGATCTCTTTTTCTTTTGGGAACATGGCATAATTTACATTATAGATTTACGTGGATGATGTCGTAGAATAACAGAAGACGCTTACCTTTCCGAAACATCTGGTTATATTTCCCTCCACATTTACGATGATTCCCATGGAAATCTTTCTGTTGTTAATAGTTTGCATTCAATTCAATGATTAAGAATATCCTGAGAAGAGGACTGTGAAAAACTGCAAGAAGATCTAGACTTCATGTCTGAATGAATTAACACATGGCTATTAAAATTCCACCCAGACAATTGTAAACACATGAGAATCAGTAAGAGAACCAAAATGTCAGAACACTTATACAAGATTAAGGAAAATATGCTGCAAATATCAGAGAAAGTAAAAGACGTAGGCGTTACAATAGACAATAGTTTAACATTTGAAGAAAGCTTACATCATGTTTGCAGTTATAAAAAGAGTGTTTCAGCACTTGGATTCAAACCTGTTCATTCCTCTCTTTAAGCATCTAGTCAGAACTCATATTGATTTCGCATGTCTGGTATAGTCCGATGCGAAAGAAAAATGAAGAAGCAGCAAAGAAGAGTTACAAGACAAATGCCAAGTCTAAAAGGTTTGAGTTATGCAAAGAGACTCGAGAAACTACTATGACCCAAAAGCAAGCGAGTTTGTGACACTTTGTAAAAACACAACAGAACGGCAAGGAAGAAGAGAAATTTGCTGAAAATCTATCAATACAGTAGCTCGGATCTGAGAAGAAAATTGTTAACTCTACGTAGAGCAAGTATCAGGAACAACCAACCTGACGAAATAGTAACAACATCTTCAAACAAATGCCTTTAACAGATTGGTCAGATTCTTGTAGAATCAGGAGCTCATCTACGATAACAACATATAGAAATAGGAGGTGGTGAAACGAACATTATATGGGATTGGTATAATGTGACTGTTGAAGAGGACTGAGAAAGTCCTGCGCCGGAAACCGTCGCTTAGTATTTTACTAGTGGTCAGAATGAACAATTTGAAATGGACTGTATACAAGATGCTTAGTTTATACAAAATAGAGGTCAATAGGTTTGGATGGGTATATATCTGTCATTTTAATCTAATTTGTTTAATGAATAATAATAATGTTGAAGTGAGAATAACGCTTAAAAATGATGTTGAAGGGAAATGTATTGCTTTAAAATTAATAATTGGTGAAAAAGTAACATTGATAAAGCTTATAGACTCAGTGTTTTATTATGATAAAATCTTAGAGGTAATTAATTAATTAATCAGAAACTAAAAAAATGCTATTTGCATCACAGTTATTGGTGTGATGATTAAAAAAATGAATTTATAATTGGATAAAGGTATCCTATGTCACTTTGTCAATACAGTTGATAAGCATATTAATATTATCTAATATAAAATCTATGGTTTAATTTAACAATATTTCAAAGAAAATGCAGACTCGTCTACGTAATTTTCATTAGCTAACTGGTAGTGTAAAACTTGAAAGAAATAACGACAATGAGTGTATCCACGCATAAGTAAATCGTTTTAAACTTAATTTTAACATTTTTGATTTAAATTAATTTTAATTCTACATTATGTAATGGCGACTACATTGAGGACGGATATCCTTTTATATCATGATATCAGTGTTCGAAAGACGAAATTAGTGTATCGAAAAATATTACTTCAAATATTCTAGCTTGTTAAATTCTTTGAATAAATAATTACAGATAACACAAACGG